CAATTGTAGATTCTCAACTACATATAATGCAAACTACCCTAATCAATCTTCTTGCAGTTACCTCGGTTTTCACTCAGTGATAACACCAAGATACTGTAATCTAGCCTAACTTGAACTGAATAAGCAAGAATACCCCAACTCAAAGGCTTCAGTGATCTGATGCAGAGCACTGCTTCTTACACCGTAACACTAAAACAATAGCAACCTTAACCCAAAGGTATAAGCAAGTACCACCTAACCTAATTAACCTGAACAAAAGCAATGTCTACCAGCATACCTCAACTTAGGGATACAGACTGGAAACATGTATGTCATCAGAAGAACTATACAGCACAGGAACACCGTCAACAAGATGAATTACCTATAAATTTGGTCGCGTTGTCTTCAATTTAAAAATTAAACGTTACATCAGGTGATGTAGTATTGTATCACGGCCGCCTTGAGCACAATAGTAAATTCGTTGCGCGGTTCCTAAAATGAAAAGAAGCACAAAACAACAATCTGCGTTGAATATATAAATAACTACGACCTCTTCGAGTTATCCTCAAAACGACAACAGTGAATCAATTACAGAAACGCCGTTTTGAACAAAACGGTACTGTACTGTATCTGTCCGGTGTTTCGCTAATGGAGAGAATCGCCAGAGTGCAAGCCGCTCAGTTGGCTGGGCTCACAGCACAGAGAGCGAGGGAGGGAGTGACGCACCAAGAGCAGGATGGCAACGGGGTGCAGCAATTATATACGACCGCGTGGGAACAAGCGAGGGGAGGAAATGAGAAATCGCGCTCGAAATGCCGCGACTTCGCAGTTGGAACGGGTTATTATAAAATGGGGTGCCAGCAAGACTACACGAAACCCCTATCATCCTTGCACACAGAGAATATCGACCACACAGAGATATCGAAAAACGAGGCGACACCAACGACACTATAATAAAAATACACAGGGCCAGTATTTCTGACAATAGTCGTTTTCACCTTCATCTCGCGTCGTTTGTATGCGCGTAAGAGCTTTTCTTTGTTCGCAGCGGGATGGAACACCAGCGCACCGACCTTCCCTCGTTCAAGCGTTCAATGCCACAAGTCACCCGCCACAATAGTTGTTCTCGTATCTGTAGGTCACGTGGATTGTTGCGCACTGCACACGACGCACTTGTACATACGACGTATAACGTTCACCATCACGTTCTTCCGCGGCCGCGGGTCGCACTAGAATAAAGACGCGCAGCAAGCCGCATTCTGCGTCACTGATACAATACTGATCGCGCGCCATCACCGTAAAGCACCAATGTAACAAAGCGTACACCACCTTAAGTGAATTCCACTAGGAATGACAAACGTTCCTGGTTTTTCTTGAGGGAAAATTCTTCCTCTCCGCGTCCGTTCACAAGTGTAGTGCAGTACTGTCCAGTCTGTCCTGTATAATGACTACAGAGCAAGGACACCATACTGTACTTGGTGATATTTTTCCACCCATGATCATGTACTGTACTCCCTCCCTCCCTCGCCTCATCCCTTGTGAGCATCACGCCCGCGCGCGCACAATGGGAATAGATGGAACCTCAACAAAGAATGGGAGTTTCTCAATCGTGGCCAAAATGGAGCTTCCTGCATCATTTTTCATTTCATCAGCCATAAGGATGGTACTTGGGAAGACTATTTTACGCATGACTGGCCTTCTGCTGCAAAGATGTTGAAATGGCACAGCTTTTCTATAAGCTTGCTCAAAAATATTTTTTTTTTGTGCAGGCATTGATGATGTATGTGTGAAACATTTGGTCTGTTATTTAAGCTGATATTGGGCTGAAATTTGCCTTCTTTTGATCATCCTGGAGACCAAAACAAGGCAATGCAAGAATAACTTGTCAATTTCAAGGTTTGGGAAACATCAGTCAGATATAAGCCCAGTTTTATATGCTCATATGATATGAGGTAAAATGTTGACAGAGCAATATTATAATTTCATATTTTTCTATTGATCATTATCCCATCTTTTATGGATAAGAAACTTGGTTTTCATGTCCAAAAGAATTCATTTAAATGATGTGCATTATTATATCCAGTATAATTATAGCTACTTTCAACAATATGGTATCCATCTTTTAAAACCTCCATTATGAAGTAAACTGTATTTAATTAACATGTGCCCTAGTTTTCTGCGCACAATCTGCTAGAAATCTGTGCTGTACAGAATTCCGTCTGCATGCGAGGAATTTTCAACAAGTACAAAAAGCGAGGTTGCCCTGATTTTTTTTTTCCTTTCATCACGTCGGCATGCAAGCGGTATAAAGCTGCAAAAAATCGAGGTCAAGGGAAGAGCAACCATAAAAAAGTGAAGCTCGCGTGGAATCCAAGCAGAAATTCGGCCTCATTTTCCCTCCTCCTCTTCTTGCCTATATAGATATACGATGGCGCAGCAGTTGGATCGATGATGGTGATATATATACAGTATATGGTTTCCGCTTTCAACACGATGCGTTGCATGTAGAGACACGTTGAGCTGCACGGAGGGCCCGCCTGAGGGCGCGTCTTGCGGGAGAATTACACGCTGTGAATGGAGACAAGAATCAGGAAGACTTTCCCTTTCTCCTCAGCAAGCTGACTTCCTTCCTTCCTTCCTTCCTTCCTTGCAGCAATGTGTGACTCAATGTGCGAGTGAATCGAAATGGTGCCCCGCGGGTTGCGCACTCGTCCATGCGCTGATGTGAAGCAATATAGTCGTACAGGATCTCCATGTTCTGTACAGTTGCCTCCTTCAGCTGCAGCTTCTTCTTCTTCTTGACACCAGGAAACGGATAAGAACGTCGAGCATTTCCAAAGAAATTACTTCCTGCTGGTGCCGCCATGGAAAGCGAACGCCAGTGGAATAATCAACGGTTCCCTTTGATGGAAGGTTAAAGAATAAGCTCCGACCAACCATCACCACCGAATGATACATTCACAAATACTGTACAAGTACATACACAGTAATGTGGATGAAAAGAGTGTTGGGTATAGTGATGTTGGCTAACCAGCAGACACACTGTTTCCAGCATATATGCATGCAGCCTAATGCTTGTCCTCTAATGATGGATTGTCCATGAACTGAATCACTGCACCAATTCCAATCATTTTATGGAAGGAGATATCAAGTATTTCCCCATAGCTTTACCAATAATGTTTGCTAGCTAAATCACATTACTGAAAACTGCAGTAAAATGTATGATACATCAGTACAGTGGATTACTCTTTCATCTACTCAAATGTATATAAGCTAGACATTTGTTGCTTGTTGCCATGTTGCAGCTGGTGCGTTTCATTTCATGTCTGCACTTTCTGCTGGTGTAGTGAGAGAATTGCCATGTACGCATGCACAGGAATGAATATCTTTTTTTCCAGAGATATACAGCACAGTACAATACAATATAAATCCCTCAAGTGTTTGGTGCGGAAAAAAGCGGGAACCGGGACTGGCGCACACCCAATGCAGTGTCATCGTGTCATCGTGACGGACGGAGGGACGCGGAAGCGAGCTGGGCAACTGACTTCACGGTCATCCACTCTCATGCTCGCTCTCCTTCAATGTTAATGCGGGATTCCGGGAAGTGTGACCTTCCAATCCCTGATTGAATGCAGTAATGAGGAACCTCCATTCATCATCAATGGGAGAAGAGATAACGAGTTTAATATATACACTCTGCAATGGGGAAAAGCAAATTCGATTGGTTACGGAAATCTTCACGAACTGTGACTTATATACTACAGTACATTTTCTTTGTCATTTGCTGTGCGGAACCCATTAATGAAAGGTGATTAACGCATCATGAACTGGTTCATTATTGTTGCAGCAAATAATTAAGGAAAATGCTAGCAAAGAATTAAGTGTCATTTATGAGATATTACTCAAATATTTTTTAAAAGAAAAGAAGATTCATACAGGCAAAAAAAAATTTTAGCATCAGAAAACGGTCACTTGCACAAAAAATGTCCTTTTATTCACCGCCGAGAAACTCGTCTACTTTCGTTGCAACAGGTTGAACGGGTGACGCTCGTACTCAAGTGACACCAACATGCCGTTATTTTCGATTTTCCCACGTTGGTGGGAAAAAAATCCCTCCTGGATGTCGTTCGCTGCAACGAGCGCGCACAGTGTTATTTTTCGTTTCAGCAGAGCGACATCTACCTTACAAAAAACTGATATTTTAAATGACTACTGCAGTCTCATTGCGCGGCGTCGCTGCATCCTTGCCGTTTTTTGAAGAGTGACACCTATACTTCAGTAATTCGAATTTTAAAATTGAACTGAATATACTCGCTAGATAGGTAACACTAATATGCAATATTCCGCATGTAGTACTGCAGCGTACATTCAGCAGCAGCACTTGAGCCCCTTTTGCTGTGCGGGACTCAGTCAGGACAACGACGACGACGACGACGACAAACTCATGCCGTCATCTGATCCCGCGTCTCTGCAACATGGAATTGACGACTGAACCGGGCAAACAAGCGTAAACAACGGGATGATGAGCGTGTTATTGTGATATCCGAGCATTTGTCTGCTGCCAGCATATTGCTTCAGTGCAATGCGCGCGTTCATCTTATTCTCATCATCATCTGCATGCATGCATCCTTGAATATATAGTGCAGCATAGATATACGAGGATCAAAAGTGATGCATAATGCTGACGTGATGCTGTGGAGGGATCACCCTTTGCTTTTCTTTTCCCTCTTCTTTAAACCGGGTTGAGTGTTTGAGCATGCCATATACAGTATAGGATGCACTTGCGGATGCTGGAGACCCTCTCGAGGAATGAGACTCAGTTCATTTATTGTGTGCTGCGCAGTGTTGTTTCCTACTGCTGTACAGCATTTTAAAATCACACATTTCGACTCGACTCAACCGCGCTTTTATATTATTCTTGCGCACCATTATTCCAAGTTTCGAGAATTCCGAGCATATTTTCTTGTTACTTTCCAAGTTGCGCGATGAAATACAGTATGTACTTATACTGTACTGATTTCATGAAATATAGTAGTGCTGTTTGATGATGATGATGTCGTCGAGGAACGTGAGTGCTGGTGATGCAATCCCGAATTTCGTCTGCGTCTTAATGATTGGCTCGGTGTTTCTTACTGTCGTCAATACTCAAGCCACTCTCGGTTCAGGTCAGTCTTTTCTCTTATACACTGGCATCTCGTTTCAGTAACAAAGCGTATGCTGCTGGCACCTTGAAAAGACATCGCCATGAGCAACAATTCGTTATAAAATAACGAAACTAAAATGATACCGTGGTTGCAGCTGACAAATAAGGGCTGAAAAAAAAAACAAATCCCTTGCAAGCATCAATTCTTTATATAAGTCAATTCGGCTGTACGAATTTAAATTTCCATTTAGAAAGTCAATTTTTAAAATTTTAATCTGTACACACATGCAATATTAGTCTTAAAAGTAAAAATCGCATGTATAGGCAAAAATAATTATAGTAGATTAAAAAATTAATCGAAAAAACCACGTTTTTCAAGCAAGACTAAAAAGCACAAAAACGTTTAGTAGATTAAAAAATTAATGTAAAAAACCATGTTTTCAAAAAGCAAAAAATAACCTTAAAGGTGGTGCACATGGAGATTGTTGGGAAGAAGTGAAATACAAATGAAATAGATGCGCACCACCTTTAAGGTTATTTTTTGCTGACAAACAAACGGACAAGAAAGCAAGTTAATAAAAACGTGTTAAAAAAAGAAGAAAGAATGAAGCTCTCTATACATATTCGTGGAATAATTAATGAACTCTTGCAATGCGAAATCTCAAATGTGTATGGCTGTCAGTTCTTCTTACCAGCATGTCCTCCTAGATTTATCTCTCACTTTCGAGAAGAAGTTGGATATCTATATAAAAAATGAATAATTTCCGGCATACTCGTATGCTTGTGTAAAAGAATAATAGTAGTACATGCAGCAGAAGAACACACAGTATTGCACTTTAATTTTGTATTTTATTTTTCGGGAACAACAGCATCTTCACACGATGAACTGTTGAAAACACTCTTGGACGGCTACAACAAGTTGGACAAGCCTCCAAACTTCGTGACAGTCAACTTTGGGTTGGCAGTCATTGGTTATGACGTGGTGAGTTCATGAATGATGACTGCATGTTTAATATACAGTACATGGAAAATTGATCAACAACCATTAAAAAAAAACACATTTATATAGGCCGTGTTTATTTTTTATGAAATGGTGATTTGACTATAAAAACTCGAATGCGGTCTATTTTTGAATTCAAGCTGGAGATTTGACTGCGAAATACCCACAAAAGCATAAATACGCCGCAATAAAGAATCATTAAAGAATAAAGAATTATTTATAAAGAAAATAATGAAATTTGAAATGGTGCAAACATTTATAAATTTTTAAAACAAAAATTATTGAAGGTATTTTCAGACCAGTATTTATTAAACACATTTTCCCTTTTACATAAATACACAGTGTATCTTTTCACTTCTCATCATAAAAAAAACATTCTTCCTCTCCAATAACAACAGTAGATGATGGAATCAGAGTGGTGAGGTCTATCAACAATTCAACATGGCATAAGTGATTGATGAAATGAGAGAAAAGCATATACAGGTGCTAGTACCTAGCAATTTGACCCTGATCCATTGCCAATAAACAAGGGTCAAATTCCAAATTATTGGTTGAATTGCAGGACACTCCATGAAATTAAGTAAAAAAGTTTAAATGGCAAAAAATTGACCAAAGCAGGTCAAATTGCAAGTCCACCTCCCTGAAAATTTGACTGTCAAATTGCAGTATGGTAAAATTACAGGAGGTCCAATTGCAAGGTACCATGCACCTGTATCTATGTGTCTGGAGAGACAGTACTGTACTGTACAGCAGTTGACCCATGCACAACAAATTTTTGCATGACAAACTGCCTCTGGAGGAGATTTTTCCTCTTGCATTACAGACAAATCCGCATAACAGACTTCAGTCTGTAGAAGTGCGCATTATCAGTGGGCATGAGTCCCTCACATCCCCCTTGCTTCCCAACTTGAATTGATTATAAAATGTCATTATTATTGCTGTGAAGGTGTGTGTGTGTTGTGTTTCTTTAAAGTTATTTTGGTATTAATATTGCTTCTTTTGCATAAGTGCAAACGTATAAGAAAGTCAAACTCGCGTAACAGACTCTTCACATAAAAGATTAAATTGTGTTGTACAAATCAAGTCTGGATTGACAGCATATATGTGTAATAAGCTAATATTTATTTTTTTTGCAGGACGAAAAACAGAGGACTTTGAACCTGCACACGTGGCACAGACTGGCAAGTACTGCTGTGCATTTGAAAACTGCAATGCCCATAAATAATTATTTTTGTTGTTGAGGTATGATCACTCAATTATTGTTATACTGTACATTTTGAAAGAGGTGGGAGGACAGGAGGTTCGTGTGGGATCCAAAGGACTTTGGGGGTCTCCAAGTTTTGAGAGTCCCCTCGTCTCTGGTCTGGCTTCCGGATGTCACACTCATCAATGAGTGAGTATATTCCTACATTTCTGCACATCAGTTTATTTTATTTTATTTCATTCAATCCTCGGAATCACCTCTTCTCAATATACACAGCACTATGTTTCAGAATTTTGTCATGATGTATGTCGAGAGAAATAAGCTACTTATCTTAATGATCATTACTGAAGAAAATTCTGCACAAGTACTGCACTTTACAATCACAAAAATAGACTGTGACCAAATGGCTGAATAAAATAATGCAAGATGGAGAAGTAATTCAAGACAGAGTATAGTGCTGGGTCTCTTATTTAGAGATGCAGATATTGAATGACAACTGTTTTGAGACTGCATTTTCTCAGCGCGAGACACAACATGTTTACAATAATTCGAAGCAAATTATATTAAACCAAAAACAAAACCACGTTCCGTGGCGCAATCAAAAGAAAAAAACAATCGTATTTGGGTAATCAAAACTTTTGCTCATGACTCACTTCCGGGAAATTTTTACTTTAATCTATAATTAAAACAAAAGTAGAACAACAAGTTCCCTTCATCAAATTTATATCTTATTACAGCTCATAAAAGTTGCAATGAAACTGATTCATCGTGATTGACATCTTTTAAGCATCATAAGAGATCAGAGAAAGTATTCTCTGAAAGCCCATGAGGGAGTCAGCAATGCTGGACCAATAAATGGGGGTTAATGTGCAGTACTGTACAGTATTTCAATCATGCCAGCATACATATATACAGTCAACCCCAACACAGCATACTTGATTTGCGCAACAGACTAGTCTGTTGTGTAAAAAAGTCTGTTATGTGAATTCAATTATAAAAAATTGACATTTTTACTTTTTACAATTGATTTTAAACCAACAGAAGTCTGTCAGTCAGATTTAATATATTGCATGGGAGGGAAAACCAACTCCAGAGGAGGCAGTATGTTGTGCAAAAATTGGCAAGGTCTGTTTTTTGGGGGTTGACTGCATATGAACACATTCTCCTTCACAAAAGTACAGAATGGAGTCAATGGAGTATACACAGTGTACTAATTTCATGAAATTGAGATGCCATTATTAAAAATAATCCTATATTATTGTAGAGATTGAATGCCTGTTTTGGTTTCCCATCCCACCATCATGCACCCTCATCACTGTACAATATATATATAAGGCACAAAGAAAGGAGTGGGAATGGCAGAAGCATGGTGAGCAACAAGCAGGAGCAGAATGTGCTGATCTACAACAATGGTGAAGTCTTGTATATGCCAGTCATGTACTTCTCAGCTCTGTGTGGAAAAGGGGACATGCGCACCACTGAGTGGCCATTTGGACACCAGACTTGCTCCCTGGCATTTGCCTCATGGACTTACCCTGGCACCCAACTGGGCCTGGCGCTGCCCACCAACAACTACACCTCTGTGAGTGTATGAAATACAGCTTACCGTCAACAGCAATGGTATCCAACCTTTTTTGGGCAACAGACCAGCAAATTTCTGCACAATTTTTTTGTTGACCAGCAAATTTCCAAAAAAAATGTCCATGGACTGGTCATGAAATTTTTGCAGCAGACTCAAAAAAGTTTTGCTTGAAATGACTTTATGGCAGGCAGCATTTGAAAAGTTTATACTGTTTTGAAAAAATTGAATTCAGAACTAATGCAGCTGCTATAGTTGCCTGTCTTCAGAAAATTAGAAATATTGGCTTGAAAAATGGTTTTTCAGAATTGAAAATTAAAATAATTTATTTCAGCAGGTGGACATTTGTCTGGAGTGTTATTAGGAGAAAAGCCACCTCTCATTTTCATCCAATAATTTCAACTGCCATTGTTTTTTTTTCTTCAAATATTTCAGATAAAGATAACAGACTTCATTTTGACTTTTGATGAATTTATTAAGAAGAAAAAGATTTGCATTGGATCTGAAAAAAATAAAACTTTTGTGACCAGCACTGATCCATGGACCAATTATTACTTACAATTTAATGTGTCAATGGAGAACATTGTACTTCATTTTCATTAACGTCATATCATACACATTGAACAGTTCTCTCAAGAGAACTTTCTGTGCATATTGCTTGCAGGCAGTGTTATGGCTCCAGCACTTCAAGTTCCTTTTCATTTGGACATTTTATGAAACCCTCAAAAATGTAAAAAATGATTACATGATATGCAGTGTATGCTAAAGGTTTCATTATTTGTTGAGCAAGTGTATAACAACGGTGGGCTGGTCATCCTCAGACTTCAAGACCTTAACACCTGCATAAAACGATTTGGCTTCATTTGCATCATGAAATAAAGGTGACACCAAAATATATTTAGGTACATTTCCTTTAGTGTGTAATTCAATTTGATTGTATGGTACGTATAGAGACTGTGAATGGCCAAGGTGTGTATATAGGTATTACCACACATATACACCAGAATATTGACCTGTGGAATGTGAACCCAAATGCAGGACTTCCAAGACGTGCACTTGAGGGGCAATTGGGTCATCCAAGACATTGGATGGCACCTGAGAGACACTTTGGACATGACCAGTCTGCCACTTCCAGGACATGCCATGGTTGAGGTCACTTTTGCCATTCAAGGAAATTGTGACAAGTTCTTGGCCACTCTGCAAGGACCTCTGATTGGTGAGAGAGAAAGAAAATAAAGATTGACAATATGCATGAATTTCAGCTATAGGCTTGTGTAAAATATTACATGCACTCCTATAACTTACATTTAAATATGTATACTGCTACTTCCATATGTAGAAATTTGCAAAGTCCCTGTTTATTATAGTTATCTTATTAAAACCATACATTAAAACCTCTTAAACTCAAAAGGGCTTCCTTTTTTAAACCTTTAAAACTAAAATATCCTGCATATATAGAGGCCTTTTCGCCTTTACTGATGTACTACAGTAATTGACACAGGAAAGAAAAATGATAGGAATATAACTTGATGAATTTCAAAAGGAAAACCTGAATAATTGGAAAAATGAACTCTTGCCTCTGAGTTCAGCAACACTGGTCAAGTCATTATTCAAGAAGCAATTCAAGGCCATGAATATCATCAAATTTCAATTTTCTGTATTTCTTTTTTCTTTTCCTCAACAAAAATACCTGCTTCATTTAATGGATTTCTTAATATTTTCATTTTGCTGGTCTCTTATTGAAGTTCAACTTGAAGAGTTTATATACAGTATTGTATATATAGCCATATATATTGGGTGTGTATAAAATAAAACACATTTGTGATGTATAGCTGCCCTCATGCTCATGCTGGCCTCACTGTGGATGCCTCCTGCACTCACACTCGCTGTGGCCGTCTTCAACACAGCCGTCATCTTGGGCCTGTTCACTTACTACTCCAGCTACTTGCCTGTTGACTACGAGGAGCCACTTCTATGTAAGTATGATATTACACTACTACAGTTGTATACCATTGAACAGCTGCTCCCTCTGTGTCTATAAGAAGTGGGGTTTGTGTGTGTACGTATATCGATTTCTATTTCCGATATCTTTACGCATACGATATCTCGCATCAGTAAAATGTTCTTAATGTGAGCGCACAGTGTATATATATATATATGTATATTCAGATTCAGCGATGGGTCATCATTGTTTTGTTCAAAATTACCAGAAAATAAATTCAAAAGCAGCACTGTAAGAAAGCTTATTCAATATATTCCACAAATGAATGTATGCTTTTCTGTGTATGTGAGCGAATTCAAAGATCAGTGTTGTCAAATCAGACAACTTATCATCGGTGAACATCAAATCCCCCCACGTGGACCGTATAAAAAAAAACACATGTCAGCCTCTCAAACCGCAGCGAATCCTATTTAATCATGTAAGTAACTGTAATTATCTGTTCGTTTGATTGATATATATAGTCACGTACATGAAGAGCCTGCTGATGACGCAGGCAGTGGTGGGCATCTGGACCCTGCTGCTGGTGCCGGCGAGTCGCGCAGTGGCCCAGGGCCTGGCCCGCAGTGTCCGGGCCAGGATGAAGGCCGTCTTCCTGTCCACATTCGCCGCCTTCGATCCCTTCCAGCAGCAGCATCAGCATCAGGACGCCACCACCATCATGGCGTCATCGTGGTCGCCTCATCATCATCATCATCATCATCATTATCCACGCGACGACTGCATCAGGGATGAAGAGGACGCCACTGCTGCTCTGATCCTCGCGTCGGGACAGGCGGTCATGTTCTGCGTGGCCACCGTGGCGGCCCTCGTCGCACACTGTCGTTTTCTCTACTATCCCTACTACCGGCACTATTACGACACGGAATCAACTGTTTAATATGCAGTACATACTGGACCCTCAGTTAACACAACTTTGGTTTTTGAGGGAAAATATGCCTCATCAGTTAACACACCAAAATTCAGTCAACAAACTGTTTTTTTTTCTGGGAAAATATGCAGATTTCGATTTTAAGGTTGAAATTTATGGCGCAATATCCATGTGCAAATAATTCACCTATACAGTACATGCACTGATATGAAAGTTCTTTCCTTCTGGCACTCTAATAAAGTGTTCCCCGACTTTTTTTTATTGGCCTGTGGACGAAAAATTTTCTAAACATTCATAAAGGTTTCAAAATACTGTAGAAAGGTGGGCTTGAAGAAAGGTTTCTCAGACTGAAAAGGTTAAGCTAATTTATTTTAGCATGTGAATATTTTTTCAAGTGTAATTAGGAAAAAAGCCAACTTATGTTTTCTTATTGAGATGATTTCAACTACAGTACCATTTGTTTTTCTGAGATTGCAGATGATCTACTTTTCTCTATTTATCATGCTTCAAAAATTTCTCTGAATACAGTACTGACAAAAAACGTTTGTGGACTGGTGCTGCTGGTCTGTGAAGTCTATGGATAAAAAAAAAAAAAATGGTTGACAAACTGTTGTCTGGAACCAATCAAGTTTGTTAACCAGGGGTCCCCTGTATTCTCAATGTAATTCACAGTACTGTATAAACACAGCCAATGCCCAAATTAATACATTTCTGCATGATGCTGCAAATCTCAGTTTTTCATTTATACTTTGATGTTGCGTGCAAAAATGAAAAAGGGAATTTTGGTACCTTTATTTTTTCCCGCTTCACACATCAGCAGACATTGAAAATGAGTGCTGATTGATCGATGCTGACATGATGAAAGCATCAATGATTAATCGATTCCTGCCTTCTTTGCTTCTGGTGTTGGCACTTGCTGGCCAGCAGGTGGGTCTTGGATCAGCACAAGATGCAACAATAAGTGAGTGCTGCTGTATTGACATACTTGACACACATTCAATTGTTTGAAAACTACTTGAATAAATGAACTGAAAAGAAAAGAAGAGAAACCACGAAAAAAATTAAATCTGTCGTTCTAGTACCGTATGCGTGCTATCAAACAATTTTATTTATTTATTTATTATATCAATTGCTGTGCAAATAAAACTTGACTTAAACCGCTGTTGAGTTATCTGTTGTCATTATGTATGGCCGCCTTTCTCACGCACTCATAGATCAATTGCAAAACTTTCTTTTCAATGAATTCCTTCTAAAATAAGGCTGGCCATTTTTCAATATAATATAATTTGTAGGAAATACTTTATGAGGAAAATAGGTTACAGTTCAGAAAAAGTTAGGTCATCAAAGCAGTCAGCAGCTGTGCTGGGCTATGTTTCATCATCAAAAAGGTGTTCTGAAACATGCATTATTTCCCCCCAGTCTTTTACTGATTATTTCTGGATATAAAAAATATAGTTAGTTCTTGATGAATCACAGTTGGTCAGTCTTTGAGGAATTTTCATTTCTGGTTATTTCTAGTCTGAATTAAACATAGTCTTGTAAATCCTGTAATGATTCTCTTTTATCTTGGTGGAAAAGAAACCTCTGCTTTTGCGCAATATTATGATACAAATACAGAATGTTGCATAATTTAGGTTTGAAAAAATATTAGTTCACAATTATGTCATCACTCATCTCATTTTTGGGGATTTTTTTTTTCTCGTTTGAATGGAAAAAAAAGGCACAAAGGCAAAAGGGTCTTCTGAGGAGAGGCTGAGGAAGAAGCTGCTTGCGCCGGATGACTATGAAAAGTCCGTCCTGCCGTCGGCGTCCGGGAACCAGAGCTCACCAGTCGTCGTGGACTTTGGCATGGACATCATCAGATTCCACGTGGTCCGTTGATTAAAATACAGTATCCTCTTGCATTTTTCAATTTACTAAAACGAAGATGATTTCGAGCAGAAGATATATCAATTCATGATTTTTTTTGTCCATATCTTTTGATTAATTTTCTTCAATTTTTTTTTAAATTAAAAAAGGAAGGTCATATTCCAACAGTTGATATGAGAGACAATTCATAATGATTCCTTCTCTCTGTTGTATACTACTCTCATAATGTATACTCCTGTGTGCTATTACCATGTTTTTATGAACTCACTTTTCTTGTCTGTCTGTCTGTCTGTTTGTCCGGATCAAATTTTGAAACTCAGATTTCACTCACTTCCAGACTAGCTAGCAAGCTGAAACTTTCAGGATAGCTTAGAAACTGATGACAATGCAATCTTTTGTGAAAAAATTAATTTTAAGAATATTTTTTAAAAAGAATAAAATAATTTTAGTAGATTTCTATAATAAAACTTTGAGCAGGTTTTCCTTGGCCCCAAGAAAAAAACCCATGGTGAACTGAATTGGT